TGGTTTCTAAGCTAAAATTAATCTTTGCAATGAATTACATATAGGAATGTTATTAACTCAAAATCATGATTTTTGACGTTTGGGTCGTTTCTATTGTCCATGCCCCATATATCTGTGATAATTTTTCTTGTTTTACTTTTGATTCTAGACATGGGCACTGATTGGCACTAGCCAATTTTTTGACGAAAATTTCATGCAATTGTTGAGGAGAGACATTTGGAAATAATGGTAGTCCCTCACCAGTAAACCAAAATTTTTTTACCCCTATATCAGTGAATTTCTTTATTAACACACCTAGATCATCTTCTAAGGGGCCGTGAAATTTCTCAAATCTTTGGAGGTACACTCTTGCATTTTTATCAGCTTCTTCTGCTATTTCTTCATTAGTATAACCAACAATACCAAGTTCTTCCTGAATTGACATTATATCCTCTTCCAAGCATAAAAGCAAATTAAATAATTTCAAAAGTGATAAATCGGAAGAACCTCTATTGTTTTGATTTGCCACATTATTATATGGGTCAGAGACCCTATGCTCGCATATTCCACTGCCAGAATAGGGTTGCCATCAATATTGAGATTTTCCTGTATCAGTATTAAATCTCCTACCAAATGTAATAACAACTTATATGAATCAGCAAGTGTTTTCCCATCGGGTTCATGTTCTATTTGCTTTAACGTATTAATACCAAGTTTTTCTTGAATTGCTATTATATCCTTCTTCTTATATAAAAGCACTTCATATAAAGGAGCAAATGTTTCGCTTTGATCGGATTTATTATTAGTATTACTTATCATATTTGTTATAATAAAATAATATATTAATTGGAGAAAAGCTAAATTACAATTAAATTAAAATCACATTTGCTGATCACTTTAACATATAATTAATTTTGTTGTCCATGTTTTGCCACATGACATAAATAAAATCATACTATTATTTTGTAAATTAAGGTTACAGCCAAATGTGTTCCAACAGTAGATAATAATATGTATTACGAAGAATGAAACTTCTTTTTTAAAGCAATATTAATGTATAAAAGTACTGAACTAAAATTACATTCCACATAAAGCATTAAGCTATTTTGAGAATCGCTTTTTGAACAAAGAAAAAATCCAATTTGATAGGATCAAAAAGAATGTTTCTAGGTATTTGGATATCGGGGAGTAAATCACGGTACAAGCAGTCTAACTGAATGTTGATAATACATGTACCTTGCTGTATATTCAATGCATTACCAAACTTGTCTTGCATGCCGAACTCGAACTAATAGTTAATCAATTAGAGATTTTAATATATATTGACAGGAAGGAGAATTGATGCATGTAACATTACCATAGATTTAGCCAGGATGGTTCCATTTGGTAACCTACCGCTTGAGATGCAAAAATGCCATGCCTGTCGAGAACCAATCATTAGAATGATATCCTAATAACAAGATCCCACTGTATTGTAAATGATATATAACTTACTCTCATGCGTGAGGGAATTTGGTCTTCAGGAACTGGATCAATTTTAACCACAATTACATCATGAACACGATCTCTGTATAGCCAATAAGCCTGTACTTTATCCATAACATGTTTTACTTTCTCGGAATATGCGACTTCAACGACAAGGTTAGGCCATGGCTTGTCCTGAAACAAAATGCAAATGTGAAATTTACAGTTTATCAAAACAAATGTAAGGAATGAAAGATACATGCATTTCCATCGCTCCCGTTCGGTGGAATTGTTGCTATTTTTTCCGGTCTAAATGAAGCATCAGCTTCTTTTCCAGAACCGTCGGCACGAGTTTCTTTAAATACTCAACAAGATTAGTTTACATTATGTATTAGTAATCGAAGGTTAACGAAATCCATGCTTACGAGCTGATCCAAGGCCATAAATTTCAGCATCAGTAAAAGCGACAGCGTTGCATTGGTATAACAATACTCTAGTAATTGAACTGACACAAATTTCATGTCGTGTTGATGGAAATTCAATGATCGTGACTGTGCCATTGGACCACTCCCAAAGCCCATGAATATTAAAAAAGTCACCACGGCGTTCGTATTCTTCTAAAGTCACACCTTCAACGAGCACGTATGGGGGCCTTGATATATAATTGAAAAAATTAGTTTTCTTTAATAGGAAAAAGACGGGAATCACTTACTCAACATCAGTCCATTTAGCCTTTGGATGGAGGAACCCTTGATCCCACCAAAGTTTTCAGAATTTTTTCAGTTCATCCACAGATTTGGAATAATCATCAGACACCCAGTGACAAGAGTTCGAAACAGCGTCGTCACTATAAATAATATTTCTGGAGATTTAGAAATTATGAAGAGATATACATACCAATTGCATATAAATCTATTCATAGACTTGCCTTTGGGTTACGGTAGTAGAGCTTTTTTCACTTGTCGAGGATCTTCTACTAATTTTACTAACATACGAATCTGATTCTGTATCATTATAAAGAGCTGACATTTTCGTTATATATATTGTTGACACAAATTGATAAAAATTTTTAAAATTGAAAAAATCAAAATCATGCAATTAAACTACCAGGGATTTTGCTATATCGGGTTCGTGTGACTAAACATGTTCTAGCCAATAAGCCTTATATATTTTTTTGTCATGATTAATGAATATATACTGTATATATATATACATATAATAATATAGAATAACAATTTTAAAATCAGTAGACTGATATCACTAGTTGCTAGAAAAAAAAATGAATATGTCTCAATACTTTGATATAATACATCATTATAGATAAGATATGTCTCGCAGATCTAGAAATAACAGACGTAAAACTCAAGGTAAATTTACCATGAATCCTATGCAGTATATGCAATTTAAGAATCTGATTAAATATATGCATGTCATAGAAGGTGGAAATATAGTTATAATTAATAGGAATACGCAAGATATGAAGGCAGTATTCGACTATGAAGAGGTATGTAAGTATCTAGAGATAAATAATCTTGATTTGGGCATTCTCAATATATGTAGGAATTAATTGGTTAATTTATTTATACGAAAAATATTTACTTCATGAAAATCTGACCAAAACTGTGAAGATTCACAATTATTCCATTCTGAGTATAAATTATAAAGAATTTTTTTAGACTAAGCACAACAAATGTTAAATCACATAAAAGACATACTCGCAAGGTCATTAATATATGAAAAAATTCTTCTATCTCTTCAACGATTCATCATGGAAGGGAATTTTCGCTTCAGTAATAGCTAGGGGTAAGTAAATAAGTGGGGGGGACAACTCGATGTTACACATATAGATTTTGTGAATCCAAAACTGTCACGCA